CAAGATAGAGCAGGGTTTAAGGCTGTTGTTCATAGGGTCGCTATGAGTCGCAAACGCCTCAACAGCACATAACAACAACAACAACAACAACAACAACAACACTTTTAACATGGATTCTGACTATATGTTTTTACTTCTGGTACAGTTTCCTTCAAGGTGAGTATTTCGCGTTGGTTTTCTCTGTATTTTTATTGTTGATGTTGCTATTGTTATGTGCCATCTAGTCGCCTGTGACTCATAGTGATCTTATGTACAACAGCCCTAAACCCTGCCCTATCCTTTGCTAATCTAATTGTTTCTGACTCACCTACCTCCATTACCCCAGTCGCTGAATCAATCCATCTCATCGATAGTCTTCTTTTGCATTGTCCTTCCACTCTCCCAAGCATGATGTCTCTCTCCGAAGACGGGTCCTACCTTTAAACATATTCAAAATATGTCAGACAAATCTTCAGAATCCTTGACTCTCGGAGCAGCCTGGTTTCATCTTCTCTAGGACAAACCTCTTTGTTCTCTTTCAGACCATGATATATTCAATACTCTTCTCCAGCACCACATCTCAAAAGCATCAATTCTCCTGCTGTCATCCCTTGTGATTGTCCAGCTTTCTGACACATAGAAATAATTACAAAGACTATGGCCTGGATCAGGCACACCTTAATCTCCAGACTGACATCACTGGTCTTCAGTACTTTGTAGAGGTCTCTGACAACAGACTTCCCCAATCAATTAGTCTTTTAATTTCCTGGCTGCTGGTGCTAAGAATGTTTTTCTCTGTATACCATCTTTTATATTGTCTAACAAATAGTAAGTATCTATTGAATTAGTTAAATACAAAATTAATGAGTACATGGGTGAAAGGGATGGATGGGAAGACATGATCACTGCTTGCAAGGTGATCCCAAAATTTTGAAATGAAATTAATTTTATATTATCCATGAAATAATTAGAATGATATAAAAATGTATATAACTGGGCAGCAAACGCCAGCGACCGGGCAGTCTGATGTGCTGAGGACCTGTGACTTGGCCACTTAACATCTGGGAACAGAATGCAGCAGCCCCTAACCTCCTGGAGCGCCCAAGCCTCACCACCCCCACAGCCCCCACACTCTCCCCCCCGCCCCCCACCAGCCACAGCACTGCATCCCGCTGACACCACCCTGTCACAACCTGGTGGCCGCACCACAGCCCTGCACCACTGGTGGCACAACAGGGCCACTAGAGAGTCCTTCACGCAGCACAGAGACCTATCAGCAGTCGTGGACAGTAGGATTTTGAATCAGAACACAAAGGCAAGCCATGGAAACAGCCATCACCTGAAGGCACCAATCGAGCTGCTGTGGGACTAATCTGCCATGAGAAAAGCCCATAGGATCCTAACTGGGTTTTCTGGTGCACCACCAATTGTCGGGAAGAGTACCCAAGGGTGAGCCCACTGGGAATTTGGCTGAGTTCTCTTGGACCACGCCGACTGCCCAGGAATGAGGTGGCCACTGGTAATTTATCTGAACTTTTTTTTTATTTTTTTTTAATTTTTTTAAATTTTTTTAATTTATCTGAACTTTTGTGAACACTGCAGAACAGCCAGAGGTGAGCGGGTTGCTAGGATATTGACTTTGACTTCTTGGGTCCCATTGACCCCAGGACCCTGCTTGGGCAGCGACCACTACACTAGAGCACCTGCATAAATGCCACTGGGCAGGGATCGCTGAGTGAAAACCACTGGGTGGGAGATGGACAGATGGAATTTCAATAGGGAACTCAATCATAAGCACACCCAGACAGCTGTGGTCTGAGTTAGGTCTCCCAAGTGGTTGACCTACCCTTGTGATTGTCCCACCCTCATGCATGTCCCAAGCGATTTGGCTCCACACCTGTGCCTACAAGTCTGGTCAATCAACTTGCATTTAATCCCAAACACCTTGACCTGTCTTACCTACAAGAGGCTGCCTGCTCTCACAGGCTCTGAACTGAAATTTGCCTGCAGTCAGAAGTTCAGAGAAAAACACAAGTGGGGTAGCTGCGCAACTGATCTCTAGAGGATTATCTTCAGATCAATAATATATCAATACCTTGAAAAACACAAGAAGTTCAAGCTGCTTTGAAGGAAATAGCAAAAAAGAAGGCCCCAGGAATAGATGGTATACCAACTGAAGTATTTCAGATAACAGATGTTGCC